AGCAGCTATATAACTGCAGTTAAAGCAGGGTGAAGTAATGGAAGTGTTTTGAGGAGAAAGAAGGTTTTGCGGAGAAAGAAGGTTTTGCTATTTATTGTATCCTGTTACTTCATGACAACAGAAAATAAACAGGCCAGAGGCCTTTTTGAAACTGGACTTTGTCTTCACCTGGTTTTCTTACCCTAGAGGGCTGTGCGGTTGCCAAAAGATCCTGGACAAACACACACAGGAAAGTAAGTTTGTCACATATGGTGGAGAATGCGAGCACTGCACTAAAGAAGCCTGTGGGTACTAACTGGAAGCCAAACAAGCCTGGAGAAATATGGAGGAAGTTGTGAAAGTTTTGTTGCAAACTACAGCGGCACAGCAAAAGGCTACAGCCGTACAGCAGGAGGCCACAGCCACACAACAGGAAAATATTACAGCCCTACAGCAACTGGTAATTACGCAAAAGGCCAACACAGATGCTTTGATCCAGCAGGTTATGGCAGCCCAAGCTGAGGCAAACCGCCTGCTCAGAGACGAGCAACATCAGGCCACCAGTATGATACAGAAGGAGATACAGGCTTTGACCAAGGGACTGACCAGAGTCTCAGATGGGATGCAGTCCGAGGTTAAAATGATCAGAGCCAGCCGTTACCTGCAGAAGATGACACCTACAGATGATGTGGAAGCATACCTGCTAGCTTTTGAGAGGACAGCTGAGAGAGAATAGTGGCCGGTGAGTGAGTGGGCAAGCATACTGGCACCTTTTCTTATTGGAGAACCCCAGAAGGCTTTCTATGACCTGGAACCAGCACAGGCAGGGGTCTACTCCAAACTTAAGGCTGAGATCCTTGCACGACTTGGTGTGACTATGGCAGTTCGTGCCCAAAGACTTCATGCCTTGACTTTCAACCAAGAGAAACCTATCTGCTCCCAGATGTTTGACCTGATACATCTTGCTAGAAAGGGGTTACAACCAGAAATAAATACGGCAAGCCATATCATGGAACTTCTTGTGATGGACAGATTCCTGCGGGGCTTGCCTGCTTCACTGCGTCGATGGGTCAGTCAGAGTGATCCACAAACAGCTGATGAGTTAATTGGTTTGGTTGAAAGATATGCTGCTGCGGATGACAGACAGTGGCTCAACAACACAAAGGCTAAGCAGAGAGTTAAGACTCCAGCTGCTGAAAGACCTGGTAAGATTTTTCAAGGTTTCAGAGATACAGAGGAACAAGAGACATATTTTGAGAGACCCCATACGCTTTTGCCTAGAAATGTTAATCCTGGAAAAGGGTCTAGGTGGGGGACAGTTGATAATATTAAATTCTTCCGGTGTAATGAACCTGGACATAAAGCTAGAGACTGTCCCTTGATTGATGAACCTATGCAATGCAATATGATTAATCAGGATGTACAATTGTCTTGTTTGCTGAATTGTATGGAATCTGCTGTTGCCAACTGTAGTCACAATCCACAGATATGTTCCATAAGGGTGAATGGGAAAGAGGTTAGAGCTCTATTAGACTCCAGAAGTATGGCTACATTGATAACAAAATGCCTTGTACCTGAAGCCGATGTTGATGCATTGCAGAGAATTGGTATAATTTGTGTTCATGGTGACAAATGTGAATATCCTACAGTTTTGCTAAAATTTGAAAGCCTTTTTGGTACTGTTAATCATAGAGTGGGGGTAGTGGATAAATTGGCTTATGATGTGGTGTTGGGAAGGGATTTCCCCCAATTTTTAGACTTGTAGGGGTCTCCAGGAAAAGTAGCTCATAATTGTATAGCAAATGATGATGATTCTGGAAATGTGTTCCCTTTTTCTGACATAGAATGGGCATAAGACCAGAGAAGGCTGAAGCCTCAAGTCACAGGCCAGCTTTAGTAGGAGATGACCAGGGCCACGATAGTCAGGAGTCCGATAACGATCAGGATCAAGGTATTAACTTCCCTGAATTAGAAGTCAGTCCTGTTAACTTCAGGAAAGCGCAATGGGATGAACCCACTCTTGCAGAGGCCCGTAAAAATATCCAGGTTTCAACGGATGATCCAGTACAATTAGATAGAGCCCCTTCTTTTCCTTACTTTGAGGTACAGAATGATTTGATATATAGAGTAGAGAAAAAGGGGATGGATGTTGTAAAACAACTACTAGTTCCTAAGCCCTTCAGACATACAGTCCTAAATCTTGCACACAGCCATATACTGGGGGGACATTTAGGCATAGAAAAGACAAAATAATGAGTCTTACAGAGGTTTTATTGGCCTGGGGTATTTGCTTCAGTTGCAAATAATTGTTCTTCTTGTCCTGAATGCCAACACACCGCCCCTTTTAAGGCATACCGCAGTCCTCTGGTACCATTGCCTATAATAGAAATACCTTTTGAAAGGATTGCAATGGACTTGGTAGGTCCTCTGGTAAAGTCTGCAAGGGGGCATCAGTATATATTGGTGATTCTGGATTATGCTACCAAGTCCCCGGAAGCAGTACCCCTACATAACACGTCTGCAAAGACAATAGCGAGAGAACTCATGCTCATGTTTAGCCGGGTGGGCATACCAAAATAAATTTTGACAGATCAGGGTACACCATTTATGTCTAAAGTTACAAAGGAGTTATGCAAACTACTTCAAATTAAACATCTTAGGACCTCTGTTTATATTCCCCAGACAGACGGACTGGTAGAATGGTTTAACAAGACCTTAAAAAGTATGTTACGGAAAGTAATTGACAAAGATGGTAAGAATTGGGACTGCTTACTACCCTATCTAATGTTCTCCATAAGGGAGGTGCCACAAGCTTCTACGGGCTTCTCTCCTTTTGAGCTTCCATATGCCCATCATCCCAGAGGTCTGCTAGATATAGCAAAAGAAACCTGGGAACAGGAGTCCAATCCGTACCGTAGTGTAATTGAGCACATAGCTCAAATGCAAGATAGGATGGCGGCTGTCATGCCAATAGTTAAAGAACATATGCAAAAAGCCCAAGAGGCCCAGAAAAACAGTTATAATAAAAATGCCAGACTGATAGTTTTTCACCCAGAGTTTTGGTCACTACAGCAGAAAATAAATTTCTAGCATCTTGGCATGGCCCATATGAGGTTATTGAACAGGTTGGGGAAGTTAATTATAAAGTGAGACAACCCATTAGGAGAAAACCTGAGCAAATATATCATATAAATTTACTAAAACCCTGGAAGGACAGAGAAGTCTTAACTACTTCAATTGTCACTAATAAGACTGGTAGTGAACTTGAAGTAAATGTACCAGACACCCTGTCCCCCCACCAGAAACAGGAAGTAAGGGACTTTATTGGTAGAAACCAGGATGTATTTTCTGTAGTTCCCCGCAGGACTAACATTATCAAGCATGATATTGTTACAGAAACAGGGGTGAAGATAAGTCTTAAACCGTACAGAATCCCAGAAGCACAGAAAGAGGTGGTAGCTGCAGAAATTAAGAAAATGTTAGCTCTTGATATTATTGAGGAATCACAAAGTGAGTGGAACAGCCCTATAGTACTGGTGCCAAAACCTGATGGCTCGTTAAGACTTTGTAATGATTTTCGTAAATTAAATAGTGTGTCAAAGTTTGATGCTTATCCAATGCCTAGGGTTGATGAACTGATAGAGAGACTGGGTAAGGCTCGGTACCTGACTACTTTAGACCTGACGAAGGGTTATTGGCAAGTACCTCTTACAGACAGAGCAAAAGAAAAGACAGCTTTTTCGACATCAGGGGGATTATTCCAATACAAGGTGCTACCATTTGGGTTACATGGGGCCCCTGCCACTTTTCAAAGACTGATTGATAGAATTTTGAAGCCTCACAGCCGTTATGCGGCCGCATACTTAGATGACATAGTTATTCACAGTTCCGACTGGGCTTCACATATTCCCAAAGTGCAGGCAGTATTGGACTCTATCCGCATAGCTGGTTTAACTGCTAACCCATCTAAGTGTACTATAGGTTTGGAAGAGGCAAAATATCTGGGTTATTCCATTGGGAGAGGACTAGTTAAGCCCCAAACAGCAAAAGTGGAGGCCATACAAAGTTGGCCATGGCCCCTCACTAAAAAGCAAGTCAGGACTTTTTTTTTTAAATTTGTAGTTTATTGGTTTTCCACAATCGTAAATAGGAGGGGGGAAGGGGAGTGGGTTACAGAAAAGAGAAGGAGGAAGGGAGGGGGGGGAGGGGGTACCGTCACGATACAATGAGTCACATGTTTAACGATGAGTTATGCATTTACATTGTTTACACAGTTACATTGCTTACAGTTGCGTACGTTGATTCATTGTTACACAATAGTCGGGGTCCTCTCCGTGATAGT